GGAGCAGGCACTTCTGCCCTCGGGTCGGGGCTGAAACCAGATGCAGGGTCCGTGGATAAACAGGGCATGGCCGGCGGGCATGGCCGAGGGCGGAGCGGGCAGAGACGCTGGCCCTGGGGGACCTTCTCTGGCCTCTGACAGATGGCATTCGAGTCCCACCCCCATCTCCGAGGGTCGTCCATCTCGTCCTCCCTGCCCAGCATCCCTGGGGGAAAGCCGTGAGTACCGGGCCGGGGTCCCCGGGCGGGGTCTCGGGGTGCCTCACGTGCTGGCAGAGCTCGGGGTCTCCTGTGCCCTTGTGGGGGTCTCTTTAAGATGACCAGCTCCCAGCAGGGCTCCTGGAGCACAGGAGTGATGGTCTACAGGGGGGTTCTGCCCCAGGGGACCCTTGGCCACACCAGGGGACATCTGTGGTTGTCATGGCTGGGGCAGAGGGAGCGCCTGGCACGGGGTGGTGGAGCCAGGGACACCGATCCTCAGCACCCGCCGCGCCTCAGAGAAGGAGTGCTCTGGGCCTCTGTTGTCCCAGCCAGTCACGTGGTCTCCGAGCCCCTGAAATCAGGCCACGCCTGTCATCCTAGCCAGTGTGGAGGCTGCGGCAGGAGGATGGCAAGTGAGAGGCCAGACTCCGCCAACTAGCAAGACCCTGTCTCAAAAGATACAAGGGCTGGGGTGGTGGCTCAGTGGTGGGGCACCCCCGAGGGACCAAGTTGGGTTCATCTGAGCCTAACTGGCCCCAGGTAGCTGGGCCTTTCCATGGATCCTGGCTTAGCAACGCTGGCTCGCTGTGCAGGCCGGCCAGGTCCTTACTGTCCTGGCCATCCCCCCATCACTAGGACCCGGTCCTCCCCTTTCTCGCATGCATCAGAGGGTACCAGGCAGAAGGTGACTCCCTGGGCAGTGAGGAGCAGAGGGCCTGTCCCTGGTGGTCACGGCCACCTCCCACGCAGGGCCTACTCCTTCCACGTGTCTGCGGATGGGCAGATGCAGCCCGTGCCCTTCCCCTCGGACGCACTGGTGGGCACGGGCATCCCGCGGCACGCGCGGCAGCTGCACACGCTGGCGCACGGCGAGGTGGTGTGCGCAGTCACCATCAGCGGCTCCACGCAGCACGTGTACACGGGCGGCAAGGGCTGCGTGAAGGTGTGGGACGTGGGCCAGCCGGGCGCCAAGACGCCGGTGGCCCAGCTCGACTGCCTGGTGAGGGCGGCGCGGCCAAGGGGCGGGGCCTGAGCTGTGGGGCGGGGCCCGAGGCCACCTCAAAGCCAAACAGGGAGGGGCTTGCAGCGCCGAGGGGCGGGCTTGCGGGCCAATGGGCGGGGCTAACCCTGGGCTAGGGAGTCGGAGGTGTGGCCGGGTCTGGTGACCAGCTCTCGCTCCCCTCCTGGCTGGCCCCAGAACCGGGACAACTACATTCGTTCCTGCAAGCTGCTGCCTGATGGCCGGAGTCTAATCGTGGGTGGCGAAGCCAGCACTTTGTCCATTTGGGACCTGGCAGCGCCCACCCCCCGCATCAAGGCCGAGCTGACCTCCTCCGCCCCGGCCTGCTACGCCCTGGCGGTCAGCCCCGACGCCAAGGTCTGCTTCTCCTGCTGCAGCGACGGCAACATCGTGGTGTGGGATCTGCAGAACCAGACCATGGTCAGGTGGGTGCCTTCCCTCCCTGTGCCAGGTGGGTGGGCTGGAGACACCCAGGCTCCCGGACAGACGCCTGGGCCCTGCTCCCTCCAGGCAGTTCCAGGGCCACACCGATGGTGCCAGCTGCATCGACATCTCCGACTACGGCACTCGGCTGTGGACTGGTGGCCTGGACAACACGGTGCGCTGCTGGGACTTGCGCGAGGGGCGACAGCTGCAGCAGCACGACTTCAGCTCTCAGGTGGGCTGGCTGAGGTCTGGGGCAGGGGTGAGAGTTGCAGGAATCTTGCCTCCTTTCCTGTCCTCAGTGGGTGGCCCAATTCCAGGCTCAGGCTGGGATTATCTGAGTCCTACATTCTTGTCCTCCAGACCAATCCACAGGCCATCACCTTTAATTCTCAAACACAGGGTAACACAAAAGGCCTGATTCATATTAAGCTATGGGGCCACTGAGATCCTCAGATCATCTTCCCATGTGTTCTTGTCCATCCATTCCCATCTTCTCATCTCTCTCTGTATAGCTGGTTTCTCTTCCCAGCTTTCAACTTCTGGACTCCCCAGAGGGCTCCTGACAGCTCCCCTCTCCACTGACCTGAGGGGACAGGTGGAGGCTGATGTGGGACAGAAGCTGGGCTTGGAGAGGTCCCTGTGCAGGGTGCTGTGGGAGTCAAGGCTGAAGGATGGCATAGAGGGGGAGCAGGAGGACAAGGTGTCTCAGGACTGAGCCGAGAGTCAGGAATGTGTCTTCAGGCACCGTGTGGCCAGGCGGGCATCTGAAACCCTCGGTCTTCTCTTGTAACTCCCGTGTCCCTCCTGCTGGAAGGCCGTGGAAGGCTGGGGTGGAGCTGGCCCAGTGGCTCCTGGTGCCCAGGACAGGCTCTGTGCAGAGCAGCGGGAACGTGTCCTTTCAGGTCAAAACAAGGAGCCCGCCTTGGGGCCGGGGGCAGAGGCCACGCTGGATCTCAGGAGTCCTGGCTTCCAGGCTTGGTCTGACCTTGAGCCTTCCGTTTCCTCTGCTCCAGGGGAGGCTCCTGGGCTGGCCTCCTCCCCTGCCTCCCCCAACGGGCGCCCCCGGACCTGTCGTGAGCCGGGTGTAGACCATGGATGTGTTCGCGCCTCTGGGTGATTCTGTTCCCCTCCGCCGCCTGGCCTGCGGGGCCCCTGCCTCTCCTCTCCGCAGGGCCAACAGGGACCTGGGGCTCTCCGGCCTCTGAGGGCGGGGTCCCTCTCTTCCCTCCTCCCCCAGATCTTCTCCCTGGGCCACTGCCCCAACCAGGACTGGCTGGCCGTGGGCATGGAGAGCAGCGGCGTGGAGGTCCTGCACGTGCGCAAGCCCGAGAAGTACCAGCTGCACCTGCACGAGAGCTGCGTGCTGTCGCTCAAGTTCGCCTCCTGCGGTGCGCGCCCACAGGGTCCCCAGGCCAGGCAGGAGGGTCGCCAGCTCGGGCCAGCTCGGGCCATCTAGGGAGATCCGGCCTCAATGTTTAAAAAGTGGGGGTGGCTGGAGATGTAGGTGGTGAGGAGCCCCGGGGTTCAGTCCGGCACCCCGACCTCCGCCAACCCCAGTCGAGGGGCACAGGCCGACGCCCCGCTCCAGCCCTGGGGCTCCGCCCTCTGGGGCCTCGGCTCAGCTCTCTGCCCTCCTCCGCAGGGCGCTGGTTCGTGAGCACCGGGAAGGACAACCTGCTCAACGCCTGGAGGACGCCCTACGGAGCCAGCATCTTCCAGGCACGCGGGGC